ACCCGGCAGAAGCATGCTGCAGCGTACCCATGGGGTGCGCACCGCGCCGCCATGGCCGCCATCCGACCCGGCGCGCCCGCGGGCAGTCCGCCAACTTGGAGTCGTTGCGAAGAAGCCCTGGCAGAGCGCGCCGCTGCTACAGTCGGGGCGCTGACCTAAGGAACCTAAAATAAGGAACGGGGACCCTTTTTTCCAGAAGTTAAACTTCGATCTCCGATCGAAGACACAAGGAGCACCTGAGGCAAGCTGCGAAACACTCAAGGAACGCGGAGCCCCTCCCCAACGAAAAGGGTTCCCTCTTCAGGGCCCCGACTGTACTCCCTTGGGCGTTCCAGAGCTGGCTGTGAGAAACTATCAAGCGGGAGCGTCTGTTGTCTTCGCTGGGCTCCCACAGACTTGGACGAATTGCCAGGACGTCTCGGGCAAGAGCGCCGCTCCTGAGTGCGAGAACGCGTATGACCAGGGCGCACGCGAGTAAGCTGCGAACAAAGATCGGACGGAAGCCGTTGTCGTCGTAGCTTCAGGTCGGGCATGTCCCCCTACAGGCGGAGATTGGACGAAAATAAAGAATACCCCCAAAACACTCCAAAAAATAGCCAAAAGTAGTCAAACAATGATCCCCAGACTATCTTGTGCAATTTTTGGACATTCCCCCCGCAGGGGGACAGGCCCGACTTACACTGATCGGAGGGAAGGCCGTTGTCGTCGCAGGCTGGGCCTTCGCATGTCTGAAAGATGAGGTCTCGAGCCAGAGCGCCGTTCCTGCACTGGGTAAGGAACAAGGAAAGGCGACACCAACACCAACAGGGCGAGGAGATGCGACGGAGGCAAGGGGGGTCTACCACCTGGTGGTGTGGTCCCCCCCTCTCGCTCGAGGCATCCCCAGTCTCTCGCTCAGGGAGGCATTGTGGACCTCCTCGCTGGAGGTGGGCCCCCTGGTGGTGTTGGTATCGCTCCTCCTCCCTTCGACTGGGGGGCCTCCCTGGCCACGGCGTCCCAGGGTAAACTTAGGTCGGGCATGTCCCCCTACAGGGGGATTTCGGATGAAGAATTAAACAGTCCCCAAAAATCTTCAAAAATGGCCAGCAAATGCTCAACAAATGGTCCCCATAAGATACTCCTCCTGTAGAGGGACAGGCCCGACTGAAGGGTCAACTGTGAAGACGTATCGAACGAGAGCCGTTGTCGTCGCAGCTGGACCTGCACCACCCTGAATAGGAGCGCGGGGAAGTCTCAAGCCAGAGCGCCGTTCCTGAATTGACGGGCCTCTCTGGCCAGGGCTTCCCGGGGCAAATTGCAAGCAACTATTGAGCGGGAGCCGTTGTCGGCGTGGCTGGGCCTTCAACAATCAAGATTTGGAACCAGCCCCACGCTCGAGCGGGAGCGTCGTTTTCAAAGAAAAGGTAGACTGCGTGGAGGCGAGAGCGCCCGGAATCGCCTCCATTCAGCAACATTCATAATCCTTTAGAGATATGAATCTTCGGCGGCGACGACGGCAACGGCGACGACGGCAACGGCGAAGACGACGAAGAACGAAGACGACGACAACCGATGATCGAGGCTTCCAAACGGCCTTTGGCAACTCCAAAGCTTTTCGGGGAATGGAAGGACACCAACCTGCTGGGGGAAAGAGACTGGGCTGAGCCCGCCCCAGCGCAGCATGGGGTGGTTGGCACTGCAGCATCTCACATCATATGCCTCTCCGCGGCTGATAAACACAGATGTCTCCCGATCCATCCACTGGTCGATGCATCCATACAATCGCCGCATGGCGTCTCGGCGTCGGCCACACCTCCCAGCCTCCACGGCGCACACGCTGGACGCCCTCGCTGCACGGTAGGCCGCGGCCCTGGAGCCGCTGGCCCGCTCCACGGCAAGAGGGATGCGATGCGATGCGACCGCCGTTGCGGACAGCGTCCGGGCCTAGAGCAGACCAGGTGGGTGAGGCCATGGCCTCTAGGATCTGAGGCGTCTGGATTCATGCAGTGCGAGACATGTAAAAAGTTAGGAGGAGAGGGGGAGGAGGCGACGGCAAGAGGGAGGAAATGGGGCGACGAGCAGCAGCGCGGCGGCGGCAGCGGCCCCGAGGGGCCTCCCAGTGGCCGCGAGGGGGCGGCGTGAAGAGCGCGCCGCCGCGCGGCGCGGCCTCGGCCGCCCACTGCCACTGCGCCGCGCTGGGCAGCGCGCCGGCGCTGAGCGACCGCGGCAGCGGCGCCGCGCCGCGCGCGGGCGCGGGCGCGCCGAGGCCGCAGAGCTGCCGGCGGCTGAGCTCCGCGACCCCGCGCATGGCGGCGCCGATGCCGCCCGGCGCCCTCGCGCCACTGGCGCCGCCGCCGCCGGTGCGGTCCGCGCCCCCCGCGCCCAGCGGGCCGAGCGCGGAGGCCGCGGCGCCGCCGGAGGCGGCCCAGTGTCGGCTCAGCCGGCTCGACTGCTGCTTGATGGTGTCGCAGGTGGCCCTGAGGTGGGGCGGAGGCGGCATGCCTGCCCCCAGGATGCCACGGGTCTGCCGTGCGCCCGGCGCGCCGCCCGTACATGCTCGAAGGGAGGGCCTTCCTCCACCCAGCTCCCGCAGACTGCTCCTCCTCCTCCTCCTCCTCCTCCTCCTCCTGCTCCTCCACCTCCTCCTCCTCCTCCTTCTCCTCATTGTTATTGTAATGCTCTTGCTGTGGCCAACGCGCGCTTGTGACTGCCGCGTAGCCTAGGCTACGCCTGGCCATGACGCTCCCTTCTCCTCCTTCCCCCTCCAACGCCTCCTTCTCCTCTCCCGCTCCTCCTCCTCCACCTCCTCCTGCCCCGCCACCCCTCTTCCTTATGAATAACTCCTGCTGGCGGCGCCACCAGGTGAGTTTTTTTGATTCGGCGTTTCGACATTGGGCGGAAGGGGGGGGAGGGGGGGGGGATCTGGCTCCAGACCTCTGCTTAATGCGGCTGTTTGGAACCGTGCGTCCTATGGGGGAGACTCCACCTGATCGAAATAGGCCCCCCAAAACAGCCCCCAAAAACAGCCGAGATCTACTCAATCGGGGGGGGGGGAATGGGAGGGGTGCAAGGGCCCGCGCCGATCGGCAAAACAATGAATAAAAAAACGATCACCAGACGTGTCGTTAGTTTCGCCAAAGACCGCCTCACCGCGTTTTGTGTTGTATGTGCCGAGGCCAGAAACTTCTAGCGGCCACGCGGCCGGGGGCAGTACGTGCTGAGGCAGTGCCCCACGCCCTGGCGCAGCGCGCAGCCGATGCC